ACAGACAACGGTACAGAATTCATAAATAATGAAATCATCACACTATGTCATTTATATAACATCAAACACAAACCACGTACATCTCACGCACCTTGGACAAACGGCTTAGTCGAAGGTATGAACCGTTCACTACAAGAATATCTTAGATGTATCATCAATGGAAATGAAACAAGATACACCGAATGGTCAGCAGATGTAAAACTATTTCCCTTAGCATATAATTCACAAATCACGACAACTCTAGGAATGCCATCATATGAAATGGTTTTTAATCAAAAGCCACGCAAACCAATTATGCTTACAGCAAACTCTCATAAAAATGCACAAAGTTATTGTCAACCGAATAAAGACTCAATTTGTTATAACTTACCTTTACATACACACGATGAAGATCATTTTCATCACCCACAAATTCTTAAATTAGCCTCCGGTACACACACCGAATGGATTTTAATCAGAGATAAAAAACAATGAAATTTACCAAAAAGTAACAAAAAAGTTGTTACAAAGACAAAACATTAATGAACAAATAAATTCACGCTTTACACCAGCCTCCGATTTAAAAATTGGAACATTTGTTTTAATACCCAATTTTAATACTCAAAAAGGAATCTCTAAAAAATTACAACCCCTTCGTAAAAAAACATACCAAATAATTGCCAAACCCACTGATGTCACATATAAAATTACCTACTCAGACAAAAAAGAAATTGTTCAACACCGAAACAATCTATTACCTTATTACCCAAAAGAATACGCACTACGCGAACTAACTCAATTATATTCTTTCACAGGTTTAAAATATATTCAAAATAACCCACATACGGAGAATAAAACAAAGGAACAACATGACATTCATCTCGAAAACCAAAATAAAAAATCAACTATAACGAAAAACAATACAAAAAAGCTAGATCAAAATATACCTCAAAAAGAAAGAAAAAATAGAAAATTGACAGAAAAAATAATACCCCAAGGACAAATCGACAAATCAGAACATAGAGAGTCATCACGACTTAGAAATCAACCACGTAAAAACTATAAAACATTCATTCCACAATCTAAAATATTAAAGAAAGTCGAATTTCAAAAACAGCTTTAATTTTATATTTAACAATTTTTGCACCTCTGAAATATTTTGAACTTTCATTTTTCATTTTTCAAAATAACATGCTGACAAACAAGCAACGATTCTAGTTCAATATTAGCCAATAGGATTCATCCAATCCGTCACCTTCTCTAACTCTAACACAAACCAACTAGACGAACGATATTAAACTCCAGGCATATCTATAACTATAACTTTGCGACCCCCAGGTCAAAAATAAGCAAACCACTCCAACTTGACAACTAAAATAAATATCACCATAATATCATAACCCTACCTTATCTAATAACCCAAAGATCAACAATATTTCCCCAATTCCGATCTCAAACAAATATGTTAATTTAGCCTAAAGTAAAAGAACGACCATTTTAATTAGCCTAAAGTATAAAAATCTCAAAAATACCCCGGATCACTTGACAAATAAAAAAAAAGACAAAGAAGACCTCCCAATCACCATAAAATTCGCCCCCAACAATTTTTCACAAAACTCAACCCACTTGTCAAAAAACCAATAAATAATTCGACCACACTTGAAAATTGCCTCAAACACCAAAAAATGTTCGATCGAGAAGCCATTTCTTAAATGCTCTTCTCTCGACCAGTCACCATAATTCTTAACATTCTCATAAACTTTTTAACGATAATTAAACTTTTAATCATATTTCTTTTTGATACCTTTGAATCTTTTGTAATAATCTTAATCATTTTTTGCAATATTTTTTAAATTTTCTATTCCATATTTGAACTATACCTCCAGCTTTCAAAAGCTATTGACTATATCCACAGGTACGATTCACAAAACTTATCTAAATGATACGAACCATTTTTAGTAGAACAGATTTTTTTTTACTATTTGTAATTTTTATAACATTTCTATCATCCCTCATCTTGACAATATGCAAATGTATAAAGAAAGCAATCATCACATTCGCCCTAGCAACAATCCTCCTAATTCTTTTTCTAGAAGAATACTATAATAAACATAAATTTTTCCACTAAAAGAATAAATAAAAAACCATCAAAAATTGCTAACCAACAATCACTCAGTCAGTCTTCACCGACATCATCCCAAGATAAGCCAACACCATCTTCAACTACCCAAAACCCCCAAACATCCACACGAATTTCCTTTCAAGATAACCCATATACCTTTGAAGAACGACACGCTCGCTTATCTGAACCACTAGAACCAGTTCAACGACAAGCACCCCTAAGCGAACCAACATATAACTTATACCCAACACTACCACAAGAATTAAGTAGAATACGAAATCCTAGTCAAAACCAAAATACAGTCGAAATAAATAGACAAATTATACATCCTCGACGAAACAGAAATTTTCAAACTCCCCGAGTTCATTTTGATATACCCCAATCCCCATCACAAAGTACTCCAGAAAACCCCATCGGTAAATTACCAGAAACCCCTACGCTTCTTTCACAACGTAGCAACTCAAGCCTACCCTCAGATTACTTAGGTTCAACACCAACATCTGAACAAATACGTGAAAATCCCTTTAACCCTACAAACCAAACATCACGACTACCATATTGGACAACACATTCATTCACACAAGGTGAACCAAATTTAATCAATGATTCAATAGATATTTCTACGGATACAGCAACATCCTCATCACTACCAGAAACATTATCACTACCATCAACACCATCAATAAGCCAGATTTCACCACCGTCTTTTAACTTAAATGTCCCAAATAACCTCGACGCTAGATATCGAGAACTATCATCAACAAATATTCCTTTAAGACTAGACTGGAATACATTCACAGCACCTCCACCATTATTTGGACAACACCCACAGAGTAACCGACTCCACAACTGGGCACTAAATAGACTACAATATAGACAAGACATCCACGAAGACATTCGTGATCATAACATCCAAATACTCCAACAAAATTGTCTACAATTAAAATTTGAAATCACGGTTAAATTAAACAACATTACTCAACATCCCTATCCATTAAACCCACCAAATATAACAGCTCAATCCCTACCACCACCATTTATAACAACTGAAGTGATATACAAATACGACAGATATACCCAAAAGACAATTGGTTACATCACATTTTAAAACCCATACTCAGGATTGTCATACACATGTATATTCTAAAAATTTTAATTTTTCTCCAACTCCTTTTTCTAATAACCTCCAATGAAAACATAAACCCTTCCCCCACACAGGACCCCAAGATTTATTAGTAACACATTACGATTGTGAAGAAAACGAACAAAAAACACTACACAAATACGCAATAAATCAAGTATCACAATGCGAAACAGAACCACAAGCTATAGAAACAACAAATGTAATAGCGACACTTTATTCAAAAGCCCGAGCAACAACAGTTATAGGATATAAATTCACAGCAACATTTTCTGAAAAGAAAGTACATTGTTCACAAGTCTCAAATGGAAATAAAAACCGACTTGACCACGAATCATTCTACCAGAGTAATATCGAACGACTTTTACATCTCAATCCCGAAGATTGTAAAAACGAGTTACTAAGACTCAATATCACAAGAAATAAAAACACAGATAGAAAATTAGTATATTTCCAAGTTTTTGCAGATTCTGTACTTCAAGCAGAACTTGAAAAATATCAAGGACATATAAAATTAGATGAAAAATACCCATACAACGGCGCACACGGAAGATTAACTTATGACATACACGATAAACACTGGATACCACACATTGGTATAATTGACCCATCAAACTGCAAAGCAGACACAAAAAATAAAGGATATCAAGAAATAATGTTTTTCGATTGGAAAATACAACTCGAAAAAATACAACTCACACGCGACTTATCTGACAACACAATGATCTATCAAGGAATTAGATTACCTTGTAAAAACGATCAAGGCTATTGTGACCCTACAACACGAACACAAGCAACAATTGTTTGGTTCCCCGAAGACACATGTACAACATTTCAAGTAGCAAAAATACACGCTCGTATGATAAAATTTCACGAAAAATATTTTATACAATCAATTCCATATGAACAAGTCCATCCATCACGAAGACAAAGTTCTAATTTTAAAAACATACACAATATAGAAAATAAATTGACACGTTTTCAAATATATCAAGAAACAGAACTTGCATGTAAATACAGAAATCCACTTCACAAAACACAATACTCCGAGATATTAGTCGAATACGAAAAAGGATTCGACATGACCACTGGAAAAATAAAAATCGACCCATACGCCACAAGTCACCCTATAAACGAAGGAACATCATATATACCAGTTGATTTTCAAAAAAGTAAAAGTCAACCTGGTGGACATCTAAAACCCCATGACACTAGAAGCACACGTTTACAAGAACTATCACTAATGAATAGTACATATTTCGGTAATATCCACTATGATATTCACCTAGATATGAAATTAGACTACACAATAAGCCGCATTTTTCAAGAAATGTCACTCGCTGAATTAGAAACACTTCACCAATTATGCGAATTAGAAAGGACACAAATCCTAAAATCACTTGCACTAGCAGTATTAAAAATACCCTACGCAGGATATTCACTATCAGGAAATAGATCAAATTTTTTAGACTACGAAGGAAACATTTTAAGCTAGGGTTAGTTGCGCACTTTCAAGTATTTAACGTTCAGTCTTCCAAAACACGCACACATAAAATGCAAAAGACTCTTAATCTCTTGGTCGGAGGAACGATTCCGGCAGATAGTAAAAGTTGTATTATTCACGGCTTATTTTTCATCTTTATTTATTTTTTTTTGGCTTTTTAGAGCTACTTTTTGCGGTTTTCTTGTATGTGTTTGCAAAGCGCAGCTTCCTCTCTGTGTTAAACTACAATTTTTTCGCCTGTTTATTAGAATTGCAGACATGTGGAAGTGTACGAATGGGGAGCTGCGTGAGTCGGAGGAGAAAGTGCAGCTGCTGTTGACACATGACGACCATGTGAAGAAGCTGAGCAATCTGTTGATGTTGGAGATCATGACGGAATCCTCACAACGCACCAATCTCGCCTCAAAGGTACCAAGAGAGCGGAACTACCCCCTCCCACCTCCCAAAAAAACTAACAAAGTGAATGTTTACCCCTAAATTTTGAGGAAAATTAAAGCAGTAAAAAAAAGCCAACAGTAAATGCCGATTTTTGATTGATCGGCTGAAAGTGAATTAGCAAGTGAAACGTTTCCGCAGTACCTTGGTTTTTTTCTGGGTAGAGGGAATGTTTTTTTGGGTACAAGGGGTTCAATTTATTTGAAATTTCATGACTATACTTGGGTTAAGCTTGCATGAAATATTGACCCGTATGAAGGATTTTTTTATTTCGAAAGATGGAAATTGTAAACTTCTCTAGAGTAATAAATCGCGCAAGATTTTAATAAGTGTTCTGCAAATCGAAGCGTCTGTCACAAGATTGGCATGCTTTTCTGATTATTCAACTGCTTTCTTTTCAGGCCATAAAAGAAGCCCTGGATAAAATTGACCTGCATAAACATGCGGTTTCAACGACGACCATAGAAAGCCAGACCGCTTCGACCTACAGTTTAGTGTTGAACAAGTCTCTAGACACTGTCGCACAAAGAAATAGTCCCAAGCAAGCAAAACTGCCTCATATTGCCCATCGATAACTGGACATTTAGATAAAAAATTTAATGTTTTTTTTGTAAATAAATTGTAAATTTGTATCTATCCAAATTGTGAATTGCATTGCAGATAGTGTTCGAGGTTAAAAGGTTTATAGGTGTAGTTTAAAGAGTTTTTTTAAGAGAAAGAACGCAAAATCCTGCTCCTCTCTATGCTTGAAAAATAATTTAATTTTTGAAAGAGTAAACGGCATAAGAACAAAACAGTTCTTCATAATTTTTTTTCTACCTACTTTTTCACCAAGTGCCCGAATTTCAAATTTTCCCGTGTTTTGGTTAAATTTCAATTCGATTAAATATGAAATCGATTCTGTGTTTTTTAAGTGTCGAACTTTGGTCTTCGATTTCTGTGTTCAATTAGTATGTATATATATATATATATATTTAGTAAGAGTCTATGAACGTGATTCAGACTAGTTTGTAGGTCCTGATGATTGTTGTTGTTTTTCTGCATTGAATTGCAATTTCATTTCATAAAATTTTGAATTTTTCCAGCGTAGGCAGACTTGCGATTGCTTATGTTAATAAATTTAGTGG